GGCTGGCAGAGGGCCCTGGCGGGCAGCGGGGGCAGGTTACAAGTTGGTGCTGAGCATGGGGAAAAGCAGCCCCTCACCTGCCCCATGCCTGGCACCCCGTGCTGTAGCCTCTTGCAGCCTGCATGAGGCTGCCTGTGCCTGCTCCAGACAGCCCCACATGGGCTGCGAGCACCGGCCATAGGGCGGGGGAGGGGCCACTTTTTCCCTTGCTCAGCACCAGCTTCTTCCCTGCAGGCGACCATGGGGTCGGGTCTGTGCACTGCCCCCCGTCTGTACCGCAGGGTTGGGATGTGCAGGAGCCAGTGGGAGCACGGGGCCAGTGCTGGTGGGTCCCAGCCAGCAGGGGCTCTATGGAGCCGGACCAGCTCCCCTCTCTCCCTACTGGTGCAGCTCAGCCCGGCTCCACAGACCCCTGCCAGCCTGTGCCCTGCTCTGGGCACCGCTGGTGCTGGTCCTGGGACATTGGTCCCAAGATATTGGGACATCGGTCCCAAGACAGTGACCGGGGGGCGGGGCACCTGTCAAGAGGTGGGGCACCTGTCAAGGGGCGGGGCTACCAATGAGGCCCATGACAGCCTGCCAAAACTGGGTAAGCAGCCCTCCACCCAAAATAATTGCCTGCCCCTGGATTAATATGTAATTAACATTATAGAATAAAATTAGCATTTCAATGCATCTGAAAGCACACTGTCCTTTACTGTCAGATCTATGAAGCCAAATCCTTAAGTTCCATGCTCAATATATTCTTAGGCAGAACTCATAAAAATTCAAGTGTATAAATCCCAAAGGTCACCAAAGATTCCTCTGACTGCTGATTTTGAAGCTGTTGTAGAAAAGACAGTCAGTGGGCATGTCTACACATGTGCTTTAATGCATATTGGTCTATTTTAATGCACATTAAAGCATCACAAAAACCCAGGCTCTTTAGCTAATGTACATTAAAATAGACTAATGCACCTTTTTCTAGTACCTCACAATGAAGGTACTAAATTTAATATGCATTACCTAAACCGCATTAATGACTTGTATAGATGCAACAAGTTATTTGGAAATTGAATCCTACAAAGGTCCAGCAACAGATACAGAGCCGATACAAGTAAGTTTCCTATCCTTTCTCTGGATCTTGGACCAGTCCTTGCTCCTGTCTGTTCTGTGACCCTATGAGACCTGCTACATGTTCAAATTAAAGCTGGATAGAAACCAGCTATATATATCTATAGATAGCTAGAGATTCATACACCTCTATAGACATATATATAGATATAGATAGGTAGATCTATACCTATTGAGAGAGAGAGAGATAGAGAGAGAGATGTAAAGTATAGCAGCAGCCTAATGTATAATATTTAGGTGGAGGGAGAGAACCTAGCAATAGAGGTGTTTACCATTCAAAAAGTGAGAATTCTTATTAAATACATAAAGTTTAGACATCCTTAAATAACTTGCTTTTATTGGGATTTTATCTTTTCAAAGATGATAAATACACAGAAGATAAAGCGGAATGAATACTTGTACCTAACACTTTTCAGACTAAATTTTATCCTTGGTGTATTTAAGACTCGGCACAATTTTATACAAGGATAATAGTTATAATCAAAATTGTTTTTCTTGAGTCAGATAGTGCACTTACCTGTGTAGGACCAATCAATCTCCTCAGTCAATTTTCGCTGCTGTCTATAGTATCCATAAACCAAATCTGCAAAAAATACAACCCAAAATCAGAACGATATCAAGTAACAAGTAATAACAGATGAATCCATGAACAATTATTCATAATTTTAAATATATATACATTATTCTAATTCAACTATTATTTTGGATTGTGAACAATAAATGCAGGATAGTAGAATAAAATGCCATTGATATTACAGTATGTGTGTATACACACACACACACACACACACACGCACACACACAAATAGAAATTAAGGAATATGAAATTGTGTTTGTTATTCTTATTTGAATATAGTTTGCTGCTCAGTTGTAAACCCATATCTTACCAAGGCATTTTAGTTTACTAATACATGCTAACAAATAGCCGGAAAACACACAGGTTTCTTCGTTCAAAACTTCATTGCATCTAGATTTCTTTTTTTCTACCCTATGTCCATTTTCTCTCCATCTTTTCAACTTCCATCATATCTAAATTTCCAGTTTTTAAAAAGTAAAGCAACTAGTACCAGACTTCTCACTTACAGAAAATATATTTTTTGCTCTCTACCGAAATATTTATGGGCCTCACATAGGTGAATGGGAGTCTTGCCACTGCCTTCAATGGAACTAAGACTTTATCCAAAGACCTGTTCTGCTTAACATCTGGTTAGTGAATTAATTTATTGGTAGAGGACAATACTTTCTGAAATGTCATTCAAGCAATATTTTTAAATGAATGAGGGAGAATACTGAATAATAATGTTTATTATGCCATAGCTTTTCTCTAGAAAAAATAATAAACTACTAAACCTTTATTGATGAATTTAGGGCCCCCTCTACACTTTACATTTATTCAGTAATTAACATGTTCATGCTGGCATAGATGGGCAGGGTGCAACACATGCACCCAATTTAAGGCATATAAATGGAAAATGAGGCATGAACATGTTCCCTGTGTAATGTCAAACATTTTTATGGCTGGCTTGTTTGACACTTTAAATTTAACGTGTGGCCAGGGCCAACAATTGGTTGACTGTCTGTCCTGAAAGCTACAGGAGAACTAGACCCTGGCCTGTCCAAGGTTTGGGGATGACAGCTGATTGTTGGCCCTACATGGCATCTAACTTTGGACTTGTCAGAGCAGGGGAAGCCTGGGATTATTGTCTCAGGCTCTCTCTACACTGGCAAGTAGTAATGGTGCAACTGGGATCTGATCTCCAATCCCAAAATTGTGCCACCTGCCATGCACATGTGGCATGGCAGGAGGCATGATTGTTGGGATCAGGGATCAGATTCCACTGTGCCATTAATGAACATGTGCCAAGGGACTAGGCAAAATTCTGCTATTAAATACACAAATTCAATCTTGCTCTTACTAATACCCACACTATTCCAGTAACTATTGTTGTACCCAAACATAACCAAAAGCATGACCTTGCCCCTTTTATTAATTTTAAATAGTTAAATATAGACTTTTTGTGCTCATAATCTTACTTTAGCTTCATTTAACATTGTTCACAACCTGAGGGATCATATCCTTTAACAAAATACTGTTGGATGCTGTAAAATTCTGCTCATAGTGTGCAATAAATACAACTTTAAAAGAAAAGGTCTCTCATCAGGATACATTTCTCATTTTTTAAATCACTGGAAGAAAACCACCAAATGATCTTGATTATAGGACATTACCATTTTAGCTTACTGGGAGACTATTTACATATACAACAATATTTTTAGTTGCTTCTTTTCAGTAGGAGCATTTTGCTAATTTCACTAGGCTAGCTGTCTCATCCACATGACTAACTTCTTTACATTTTTTTAACTTATGCAAGTGTAACATCCATAATGGTCAACAGGAGTTTTGTGTGCATAATATCAACAGGATCAGACTTGTGAGGTGCAAAGTGGTAAGTGAGCTATTTGTGTAATTGAAATCACTGGAAAGTGATGCTTTATGTACTAGCACTTTTTCTGTACCAATGTGCATTTGGTACTGTTTCTTTAATAATTACATAAAGGAAAGCTGTTTAAGACTTGATTTCCAGGTGTTAGTTGCCCTCTTTAGTTTCCTTTACCCATTTTTCTCCTAATTGTTACTTCAAACAATCTGTTGGGCATTCATATGCTAATGAAGCAGGATTTGGGCGTGAGAGTGTACCACCACTTTATAAGTTCCACATGGAGCTCTGATGGACAAGGAGTGATAACTTCAATGAACAACAACGAAGAAGCAGGATTCACTTTTTGATGCACTGCACACTTATAAACTACAAATCTTGTGGGAAGCCTGTATAAATGGCAGAGGACTTTTTGCATTCATATTCCTCTTTACTTTCATATTCTCCTATTGTGCTGTCAACAATATGTTCACAGAATACTGACTTACTGAATAATATACTTTCCCCACATTTGTAATGATCATTATTTCACAGTTTTTCTCATTTCTTACTGACTTTTAGCATTAACATTCTTAAAAAGATAAGTAAAAAATATAGAACTGCACCTGAGGTAGGAAGTGATGGCGCAGTAATATACATCATGAGAGAAGGAGAGAGGATGGAAGGGAGAGAAAGTATAAGAGACAGAGAGAGAGAGATCTAACAGTTTTTTTTTCCCTTTGTGGAACTATTGTAATGCTATTGTGGGAAAAAAATTATTTACATAAAGTTTCGTGTATACATTTGATATTGACCAACTGACAATGTATGATTGAAATGGGAGTGGGGCGTTTTGGTATGATTTACTTTGGTTTAAAAGTTAATAAACCAGCACTGACATAACGACTGGCTATATGGATGTAGGCATCTGTGTTGTAGCACAGTTTAAAGTAATTAGATTGAACTGAAAGCAAAAAAAGAAGAAAAGAATATTAAAAGGGATTAGACACCAATGTGGGTGTTGTGACAACAATACCACTGTATTTCACTTAGTATTTAAGATAGTTTGATTCTACTACTGAATGTTTAAAAATATGAAGCAAAACAACTTAATGTCTTCCTGCGCATGGTTGTTTACAAGAAGCTCCTAAACATGCTTCCACAGCTTATTGATTTATTCATGCACTGAGTCAGATGTGTTACAGGATCATGTGTTAGCTAGATGCATAGACTACCTTTTATGAAAGTTCATTAGGAATGAAAAATAATAACTTTCTTCCCTATGCTCACATTTCTTTAAAGCCAACATTTTCTTCAGGAGGCTATGAAATTGGTTTTCTTTAATTTCTGCATATTTCCGTAGTTCATATTCCATTCCCATAGATGCATAACTTTAGGGATATTTTCTGCAAGAAACTGCATTGACTAGAATAACTACTAAATCAACTTGGATGTTGCTGACCTAGGCTCATGTTTCAGTCCTCAGACATGAAGAGCAAATGAAGGAATAAGGTCTTCTGGTTAAAGGGTAGGATGGACAGTAACAAAATCCAACAGATACTTTTCACAATTTAGACTCTTTTCTCATTTATTCCAGCTTTATACTGTAGCTCCACAAGGAAGAAATACTAGAAAAAATTTTTCTAATTTATCTCTATGTAAGAAAGCACTTAAAAACAGAATTTTTATGAACTAAAATTCAAAATAAGTAATGAATATACAGATAAAAAAGTCTAAGGGAGGGATTCTCAAGATTCACCACTTCATGCCTGTTAAAGGAAGTCAGAGTTGCATAAATGCCATTTCAAACTCATATCTAATTAGAGGAATATTCCCCAGCACAGGACCTGAGGCAGCCAGCCTCACCCACCCATCTAGAAACCCCTCCCAAAGTTTGATTTAAGGCATATGCTGGAGATGATGCTTGTAACAGGTGGTGTAGATTAGGTTGGAGATACAGGCTGTTAGCTACTGCAGAGATAGAGGCCATATAAGTTGTCTAAATTATGCTGAAGGGCCCTCCAGCTCCTACAATCAAAGAGCAAAAAAGTAACTTAAAAGTTATCTTAGCTCCGTCTGTTCTGAAGTTGCAACTTCACAGAATCAGAGAGAAACACGGCTGGAAGAGACCTCCAGAGTCCCAGCAGGAGATCACAAATCTTACCCTATACCTGTGAGACTCTGTGACTACAAACTTTTTCTTACAGAAATCAGGATATATTCAGAAAATAGATTTTTTTGTCTTTAGGCTGTGTTCCAAAAATAAAGAAATTTGGTGCTGATGTTCTCTTAATGCTGCATAAAAATTCATTATTAATTTTAGTTCAAATTTTATGAACTAAAAATTAAATGCATCTAGATTCTGAGAATGTTCGCATCACTCAACATTTTCCCTTAGGCCAAAAGTCAAATTCAGGAGCAATAGGGACAGGATCTAAAGGCAAGACACCCTTGGATATATGGATGGCTATAGTGCACTAGGGCTAGGGACAGACATTCAAAAAGCCTGAGTCTGAATTGATTCAATCTTTGTAGGTTAGTCTAACCAGGCTAGTCTAAACCAGTTTGTAACCGCACAAACATTCTCTCTGGACTTAAAAAATGCAGGCACATGCATGCAGTGGCTCAGGCTAGAAGCCACGGGTGCTAGAGCAGCCATCCCTTCTCCTGCACAATGCTGAGCTGAGGGGCGTGGCCAGGCCCTGGCAGGACACTATGATTAGAGAGGGGTTCCCCCTCCTCCTGAGCAGCCCCGGGAATGTTTATCACCCCTAACTCAGTGTTTATCAACCCATTAAGAAAACAAAGCCTCTCCTCATTAGTTCAAGCTCTTCTTAAACAGCTTTTCCAAGAAAGGATATTACCAGCTACCTGTTGATTAGTTCCAAAAAGCCTGTCTGCCTTTGTTGTCTCCCACAACACGGACTGTAGCTAGGATGTGGTCTGCTAGCTAATGCTGAGAGGTATCTGTGTAAAGCAGAGGGGTGTGGGGAATGCTTAGCAGGGAGAAGGCAGGCAGATGCCTGCAGTCTGTGCTGGAGCTCCAGCCAGGGAGCAAAGGGGAGGGGCCAGACCTTCTGTGGAGCAGAGAGCCCTGCCCAGCCCAGGGAGCATGCCAGGATGCTGCGGGAATCTGGTTTATTTTAAACCAGCAAGGGGTCTGGGACAGGCATTGCATAAACCAGTTTGACCCAAATCAATTAAGTCTGATACTACATTCAACCAGGTTTATCTCAAACTAGTTTCAGCCATTTTTAAACCAGTTTATGTGCACTGAACATCTGTTCTGTTACAGGTTTAAACCAGTTTCTGATCAGTTAAACTGGTTTATGCGTAATGTCTGTCCCTAGCCTAGAGGCATAGTAATTGGCATCGATCTTATTAAAATCACTGGGAGTTTAATGGGAGGAGGATCAGACCTGTGTGGGTAAATCAAGAAAAATGATAGGATCCCTCAGCATTCCAGAACTCATGTAAAGGAACCAAGGGAAAATATCTATTTATCTCTCTAAAATCTTTCTCTAAAAGAATCCTGTAGTCTCATGTGGTACCTTTGCTATCTACACTTACGTTTACTTGCTATGGTCCTCACGCAAATGTTGGGCAAACTATTTCATATGGATGTAAACCTCACACACATCAGGCCAGAACCTCAGCTAATATAAAGTGGCAAAAATCCAGTAAGTCAACGGAGCTACATCAATATACATAAGCAAAAGATTTGGCCATAAATGTTTAAATGGGTAGCTTCTATGTCACTCACAAAGTCAAGTAGATTCATCTTTGTGATATCTCTAATCTAACAGTGCAATTGCTACAAACATTTTGTACATTATATACTATTACCCTTTTATAATAATCTATACATACAAACAAAAACATGAAAACATGAAATTCCAGATCCTTTTGCTTGCAACTGAAAAAGGGGCTCCTAGCAAACAAAATCAAACAGTAATGTGAGCATATCAGTTGCAGAGTGTTACAGAAAACAAACTGTGTATCTTATATCAGAGGTGCTGCTAGCTATTTTGGCACCCCGGGCAGAGCCAGGTGGGGGTAACGTAGGGGGCTGTGCCCAGTAGAGTCTTACCTGGCACACAATAGGCTCATGAAGACAGCGATGGAAGCACCAGCTATGCAGAGCAGGGCCATGACTCCCCAACCCATCAGCCTCACTCCCCAACTGCTGCAAAATTAATCTATTCTCAGCTGCCAAAGAACTGCATACAGAATGATCCTGTAGAAGCCTTAATTTGGTAGCAACTGTGAGACAGTTAACCTAATATCTGTGAGCTGGGCACACACCTTCCTCATAGCAATACCTCCTTCTCAGCACCCCTATCAGTCACCACATGTGGCTCCTGCCCTGGTCACCCAACTCTAGTTGTGCTACCATCTTATATATCAAGATAACTAGATGGCCAAGAATTGGGCCACAGGGCAAAGTAACCAAAACTTAGGCAGGGAAATGGAGCCAAAACTGATGTACAACTACTTTGAAAAGTATACAGACACATGGGGTGCATCCCCATATGCAGGTATGTGCGGTTTGTGGCACTACAAACTGCAGCTGTGGAACATTAAGATGTGCCTGCCCCACACTGCAAATTTTTGCCTTATTTGCTCCAGCATGCTAGAAGCCAGGAGGAACTGGGCAAGAGCAGTTTGCCCCAAGTGGGACACAGTATCCCACAACAAAGCACACATGCAGGGGTGTGCTGCCACACAGAAGTAGCAGCACAAATTTGTACCACTGCAGGTGCACACCCCTGCACAACTAGACACAGACATGATGTTTAACCATGAATACTTAGCAAAAGGATGCCTAGTACAGGGGTTTTCAACCTTTTTAAAGGAGTGAACCCCTTCTGTGGGTACCTCTTCTGGACTGTACCCACTTCTGACCAGGCAACGGGGGCAGGGGGGTGATGACATCAGCACTCCCACCCCCTCCCACTGCCCAGCTGGCTGTGAGAAATTCTGTGCAGGAGGAGAAAGGGCTGCGAGGGGGAGAGGGGGCTGGGCCTGGGACTCGGCAGGGATAGGGAGGGAGCCAAGCCAAGCCTGGCCCAGGATCAGGCCAGGGCCCGCTGCACCCTTCCCATGTCCAGGGTCATTGCCCAGTGCTGACACCCCCTGCACCAACAAATCCATTGCTCCCAGCTCCACCCCGGCTCCAGCTGCCTCTCTGCCCTGGCCCCACACTGCCCGGGGCCAGCCTTGGCTGCGCCGCTGGGCTTGAGGGGACAGAGCCCCTGGGACCCCCATGCCTACCCCACCAGGCCCTGCACAGGAAGGGTGCAGGACAGAGCCACAGCTCATCTGGGGGCGGGGGGGAGCACAGGGAGGGGCGGTGGCTGCACGCATCCCGGGAGGACATGGGGGGTCAGGTGACTTACAGCACAACCAATGCTCCCCAATGCTGCTGCTGTCCTTCCCAGCACAGTCTGCCCCCCCCAGCCGGGTAGAGCCTAGTGCAGCCCCAGCCCCAGCTCTGCACAGATCAGGGGGCACACGCCCCCCCATGCCTACTGGGGTGCACGTAGAAGCAGGACGAGCCACTCATGGACGAGCCGCTCATGGCCCAATCCTGTGCACTGCCCTGAGTGCCTGCCACAGCCCCAGCCCCCTAGACCAACTCTGTCACCGCTGCACGTGCCCCTCCCCACCCCTGCTGCAGCCATGGGAAGCCCACAGCCAGGCTGCCTTGTGGCCCTACTACTGCCTTGCATTTGGGGTGACTGAGCCCCATTAGCCCCCATTTCTGCCACCCATGGGTGACAGAGAGGTGGGGGTACCTGGGCACAGGGAAGTGGCACATGGCGGTGACCCCACCCCCTATGCTGCCACTTCCCAAGTATTCCTGCTTCTCTACGTTGCCACCTCATACCCCCCAGGGCCTTCCCAAGTACCCCCAGGGTTACGCACACCCCTGGTTGACAACTCCATGTCTAGTATTTTTCCACATATAGGAAAACTACATTAACAAAAACATACCCACCTACATATATCCTAAGAAAGATGTTCAACTTCAGAAACAAATAGACTGGTTAAAACCTTTTGTTGCGGTATAAAATGCTTTCCCCTATATAATCTGTCTGCCTGTGTTGCACCTGCTAAAGACAAAAAAAATAAATCTTGATTCCTTTCACTTTCACCGTTTTTATACCAGTGTAATCTATGTGTAATGATTTCTTATTTACATTTGTGCAAGTCAGAGAGGAATCATACCTTAACATGCAAACAATGTGCAAACGACTGTTAGCAAGAATTCTCTGTAAATCCCTTCTAGAATATTTTGTATTTTCAAGTATCCTTCAACACCTGGAATGACATCTGTTTTATTTTTTTTTCTAAATGTCACTAGTAAAATCTTTAAAA